TAGGTTGAGGAGCAACTATTTGCTCTTCTGGTCGGGGTGAAGATACCCCGAACAAGCCCTCAAAGGATTATTTTCCATAGTAACAAGTGACAGTAAATTTCAGCACACTATATAAGTATTTTTCCTTACCAAATTCGACCTACCAAAGGCGCTTCACTCCCCGGCAACGGCGCCAGAAAAGAGTCTTGATGACCCACAAGTATAGGGGATCTATCGTAGTCCTTTCAATAAGTAAGAGTGTCGAACCCAACGAGGAGCAGAAGGAAATGACAAGCGATTTTCAGTAAGGTATTCTCTACAAGCATTGAAATTATCGGTAACAGATAGTTTTGTGATAAGGTAATTCGTAACGGGTAACAAGTAAGAAAAGTAACAAGGTGCAGCAAGGTAGCCCAATCCTTTTTGTAGCAAAGGACAAGCCTAGACAAACTCTTATATAAAGCAAAGTGCTCCCGAGGACACATGGGAATTATCGTCAAGCTAGTTTTCATCATGCTCATATGATTCGTGTTTGTTACTTTTGATAATTTGATATGTGGGTGGACTGGTGCTTGGGTACTGCCCTTCCTTGGACAAGCATCCCACTTATGATTAACCCCTCCTGCAAGCATCCGCAACTACTAAAGAAGAATTAAGGTAAACCTAACCAAAGCATGAAACATATGGATCCAAATCAGCCCCTTAAAAGCAACGCATAAACTAGGGTTTGAGCTTCTGTCACTCTAGCAACTCATCATCTACTTATTACTTCCCAATGCCTTCCCCTAGGCCCAAACAATGGTGAAGTGTCATGTAGTCGACGTTCACATAACACCACTAGAGGAAAGACAACATACATCCATCAAAATATCGAACGAATACCAAATTCACATGACTACTTATAACAAGACTTCTCTCATGTTCTCAGGAACAAACATAACTACTCACAAATCATATTCATGTTCATAATCAGAGGGGTATTAATATGCATAAAGGATCTGAACATATGATCTTCCACCGAATAAACCAACTAGCATCAACTACAAGGAGTAATCAACACTACTAGCAACCCACAGGTACCAATCTGAGGTTTTGAGACAAAGATCGGATACAAGAGATGAACTAGGGTTTGAGAGGAGATGGTGCTGGTGAAGATGTTGATGGAGATTGACCCCATCTCGATGAGAGGATCGATTGTGATGACGATGGCGACGATTTCCCCCTCCCGGAGGCATGTTTCCCTGGTAGAACAGCTCTGCCGGAGCCCTAGATTGGTTCCGCCTCGAGATGGCGGCGCTTTGTTCCGCAAGCTTCCTTATGATTTTTTCCAGGGCAAAATACACCATATACCAGAAGATGAGCATCGGGGGGCTGCCAGGTGGCCCACGAGGTAGGGGGCGCGCCCAGGGGGGTAGGGCGCGCCCTCCACCCTAGTGGACAGTGGGTGGCCCCCCTATGGTGCTTTCTTCGCCCAATAGTTTTAATATATTCCAAAACTGACTTTTGTAGAGTTTCAGGACTTTTGGAGTTTGCATAATAGGTCTCTAATATTTGCCCCTTTTTTCCAGCCCAGAATTCCAGCTGCCGGCATTCTCCCTCTTAATGTAAACCTTGTAAAATAAGAGAAAATGCATAAGTATTGTGACATAATGTGTAGTAACAACCCATAATGCAATAAATATCAATATAAAAGCATGATGCAAAGTGGACGTATGAAACTCCCGAATATCGGAGGAACACCTTGTGTGCTATCAAACGTCACAACATAACTGGGTGATTATAAAGATGCTCTACAGGTGTCTACAAAGGTGTTTGTTGGGTTGGCATAGATCGAGATTAGGATTTGTCACTCCGTGTATCGGAGAGGTATCTCTGGGCCCTCTCGGTAATGCTCATCACTATAAGCCTTGCAAGCAATGTGACTAATGATTTAGTTACGGGATAATGCATTACGGAATGAGTAAAGAGACTTGCCGGTAACGAGATTGAACTAGGTATGAAGATACTGACGACCGAATCTCGAGCAAGTAACATACCGATGACAAAGGGAACAACGTATGTTGTTATGCGGTTTGACCGATAAAGATCTTCATAGAATATGTAGGAACCAATATGAGCATCCAGGTTCCGCTATTGGTTGTTGATTGGAGATGTGTCTCGATCATGTCTACATATTTCTTGAATCCGTAGGGTCCGCACGCTTAACGTTCAATGACGATTTGTATTATGAGTTATGTGTTTTGGTGACCAAAGTTTCTTCAGAGTCCCGAATGAGATCACAGACATGACGAGGAGTCTCGAAATGGTCGAGATATGAAGATTGATATATTGGAAGGTTGCATTCGGATACCGGAATGGTCTCAGGAAGTTTCGGATGATTTTCGGAGTACCGGGAGGTTACCGGAACCCCCTGGAGACTAATGGGCCAACATGGGCCATAGGGGAGAGAGACGGGAGCCCACAAGGGGAGCCCCCCCCCCCCATGGGCAGTCCAAATTGGACTAGGGGAGGGGTGGCGCCCCCTTTCCCTCTCCTACTCCCTCTCCCTTCCCCCCTTTGCCTCTCTGGAATAGGAAAGGGGAATCCTACTAGGACTGGGAGTCCTAGTAGGACTCCCCCCTTGGCACGCCCCCTATAGGCCGGCCGCCCCTCCTCTCCTCCTTTATATACGGGGGCAAGGGGGCACCCCAAAGGAACAACATTGTCTTAGCCATGTGCGGTGCCCCCTTCCACCATTTACTCCTCCAATAGTATCATCATAGTCCTTAGGCAAAGCCCTGCACGGATCACATCATCATGTCATCGTGCTGACAAAACTCTCCCTCGACTCTCTACTGGATCAAGAGTTCGAGGGACGTTATCGAGCTGAACGTGTGCTGAACTCGGAGGTGCCATACGTTCGGTGCTAGATCGGTTGGATCGTGAAGACGTTCGATTATATTAACCGCGTTAACATAACGCTTCTGCTTTCGGTCTACGAGGGTACGTGGACACACTCTCCCCCTCTCGTTGCTATGCATCTCCGAGATATATCTTGCGTGAACATAGGAATTTTTTTGAAATTGCATGGTACGTTCCCCAATAGGCCGCGCCACCTCCACGGTTCACACCCCAGCGCAACGACCACGAGGCTCGCCCGTCCATGTTCGACATAGCCGACACGGTGGAATCTAGAGAAAAAAAGTAGGGCATGGGACATGGGCACGTCTTGGGTCCCAAGTAGGTTGTGCCCCACATCCTATTCTTTGCCTCCAGCAACTTCACTTTCCTAGGCTCAAGGACGGTGAGTTTGCCGGACATGGAGAAGTCACGATGTGTGACAGGGACACCGCCACGGCCGACAAACATTTAGACTAGGTTAAGAAGTGATGTTCACTTTTGTTTAGTTGAAATGTGTCGACAATATAATGAATTTGGTCCCGTTTTAATGAAAATCGTACATTTGCATTAATTTCGTTCGGATTGTTTAAATTTCATTTGGAATGTGTGCCGGCGTTTGATGTCTAGGGTTGGACGGCCGGCTCCATATAAGGCTGGCCATAGTGGTGGTATCTTAGCTTATATCATGCACTCGGGAATAGCAAACATGTGGCAGAGAATTAAAGAAAGGGGGGGGGGGGGTAGAGTAACACAGGTAGATACAGTATCATGTTAAATGTTATATTACTTTGTATCATGCATGACAATATATATGATCATCGGTAATTGCCTTTGGCTCCTAGGTGCATACGCACCTATTGTCGAAATACACATTTCGAAAAGTTGAAAATTTTAGAACAAAAATCCTGCGTGTATATCCGGACATTTTATGTGCGTGCACAAGGTTTCAGTGAAAACGACGCTTTTTGTGGCTTGTGTAAAAAAGACAATTTCCGATGCTTCATTCTAACTATTCACGAGGCATTTCTTTATCTTTTTTACACAAGCCACAAAAAACGTCGTTTTTCACCGAAACCTTGTGAACGCACATAAAATGTCCGGATATACACGTGGGATTTTTGTTCTGAACTTTTCAACTTTTCAAAATGTGTATTTCGACAATGGGTGCATATGCACCTAGGAGCCAAAACACCGCTCTCTATGATCATCTATTATACTACTACTCTATGATACTGTGCACTATGAATATAGTATTGTACAGTAGTATCATGTGCATCATACTGGTATATGATACTCCCCACTATGAGGCCACTTCCAATGCATAAATGCTTAGATAAGGTGCTAACCATATTAAAAAGTTTAGCAATATCCACAATGAATAGGTGTTTCACTTGTTGATGCTAAGCTCCCCTCATTTAATGCTTTAGCAACTAAACTATTTCATGCATTGGTGGATTTTTTTATTTAATTTCTTTTGCCTAAGTTCATGTGCTTGGCATTGGTTCTTCTTGGGTCATCAAACTCACATTTCTCCTCTTTATTACCCATTCACATCAGATTGTTTGCCTACATGACAGCCTTAGCATATGTACAAGATGTAGCTTTGGGGAGGGCCTGAGTAGCCTAACTATACGCGCGGGTACCGAGTCCATTTTAGGGATCCGTGTTGGAGATGCGTCTCATAAACTATCTTGGTGATTTTTTTTAATGACACCCTATAACGTAATGGTCCGCCACTAGGCCCAACCGCCGATTCGCTCAGTTCGAACGTGGTTCACACGTATATAAATTGGATTTTAGTTAGTAAAACTCACACACATAATTAGTTAGCCGAGTTAGTTGTTTGATTCAACCCTCATCCAAAATAATATGGGAACGTTCGTCCTTTAGCTTTATCGTTTAATTTAATTTAATCCATCATTGCAGTTTATGCTAATGCTCATCTCACATGATTCCTTTTGGATGGCCCATATATATATATATATATATATATAATATATATATATATATATATATATAGTAGTTGTCATTATCCATCATGTGGTCCGTTGATTGTCTTGCTAATCCCATTGTTTGGTCGGCTGAAAAAAAAATCCCATTATTTTGTCAACGCCTGCCTCCTCAATCCTCCATTATCCAGCATGTCGTCCATTGATTGCCTTGCTAATTCTAATCTTTGGTCAACTCCTGCCTCCTCAGGCCTCAATAAAGTCGTCGGCCCCATTTCTGACCTGAGCAAGTTCCCACCTTCTCCTCCTTCCCGAGGCACCATGAGGTCGTCGTCGATGGCGACCGCGATACTATCCATCGCCGCCGTTGTCCTCCTCCTCGCCGTCCAGGACAGCCATGGCGCGAAACTGTGCATGGACTCGAGTATGCCGTCGATTTCTTGCAGCTTCTTTGTGTTGTTTCTTCGAGCAGTTTGTGATTATTATGCTTCGATCATGTCGAACAGCGTTCCCGAGGGCGGTCAACGGATCCCTTTCCTTCTGCGGCTACAACGGCACTGCTTGCTGCAACACGACGGACGACGCCGCTGTCCGGAGGCAGTTTGCCGCAATGAACATCTCAGGCACGCCGTGCGGCGACCTCGTCAAGTCCATCCTTTGCGCGGTATGGTTTCCTGCTCACTCGCTGGATTGAATTACCATGTGCACGGAAGGCTCTGCCACTGAGACAATGGGGATATGTTGGTGTTGCAGAGATGCAACCCGTACGCCGGCGAGCTCTTCACCGTCGGGACAAGCCCTCGGACGGTGCCACTGCTATGCAACAGCACCGGCGTGTCGAGCCGTGTCAGCGGCGTGGCCGCGGCGACGGGGTACTGCGCAAAGGTGTGGGATACCTGCAAGGACGTGTCCATCCAGGGGTCCCCGTTCCAGTCGCCCAAGGGCGGCGCATCGGCGCCGAAGCTCGCCGAGGTGTGGGAGTCAGAGGGCGACTTCTGCGGGGCGCTGGGCGGCGAGTCCATCTGCTTCGACGGTGAGGCCGCGGCGTTCAATGCGACCCGCGTCGCGCCGCCGGTGAACGGTATGTGTCTGGAGCGCGTCAGCAACGGCTCGTACCTCAACATGGCGGCGCACCCGGATGGCTCCAACCGCGTGTTCCTCAGCAACCAGGCCGGCAAGGTATTCCTTGCCACCGTGCCGCCGCAGGGCTCCGGCAAGCCGCTGGAGCTGGACGTGGCCAACCCGTTCCTTGACATCACCGACGAGGTGCATTTCGACAACGAGTTTGGCCTCCTCGGCATGGCCTTCCACCCGGACTTCGCGAAGAACGGACGGTTCTTCGTCTCCTACAGCTGCGACAAAACGCAATCGGCATCGTGCTCCGGCAGGTGCGCCTGCAACTCCGACATCGGCTGCGACCCGTCCAAGCTCGGCGCCGACAACGGCGCGCAGCCGTGCCAGTACCAGAGCGTGATCGCCGAGTACACCGCCAATTCGTCCTCCGGCTCGCCTTCGAAGGTACGTACGCCATCATGTCAATTCTTGTCCGGCGATGTGTGTGTTTGCTTCTGTGCTGATGCGCGGCCGTTTGTTACCTCAGGCGACCTCTGCGAACCCGACGGAGGCGAGGCGGATCATGACGCTCGGGCTGCCGTTCACGACCCATCACGGTGGGCAGATCCTCTTCAGCCCGGGAGACGGCTATATGTACTTCATGATGGGCGACGGCGGCAGCGTCGGCGACCCGTGGAACTTCGCGCAGAACAAGGGGACCCTGCTCGGGAAGATCATCCGGATCGACGTCAACAACATGCCAAGTAAGGCAACTAAAACTCAAATTACTTTATATAAATAATAAATGTAATTCATCCAGTTTGAAAGTCATCAGGTTTTTTTTGTTGAAAAAGAACATGAATATAGCAATTGAAACTGTGACCAAGAGTGATTTTGAACTGAAACCCATCAGTACCACTTTTGTTTATATTTGATGGCAACTGTGTATAGTTCACATTTATATTCAAATTCAAACGGTCAGAGTGCCCAATTTTTCATATACAAATTTCTACTACGTGCAGCTGGTAACAGCACTCCCAGTTGGGGCAACTATGGTATCCCCAAGGACAACCCATTCTCCGCGGACCCCAAGTTCGCGCCGGAGGTCTTCGCCATGGGCTTCAAGAACCCGTGGCGTTGCAGCTTCGACTCCACGAAGCCCTCCTACTTCTTCTGCGCCGACGTTGGCCAGGTAACCTCTCGCATCCCCATGCTTTTATGACCACAATCGTGTTACTAATTTCGTGACGAAATCCGCGTGAGTTTGCAGTCTTTGTATGAGGAAGTCGACCTAGTGGTGAATGGCGGGAACTACGGGTGGCGCGTGTTCGAGGGCCCCCAGTCGTACCCGGCGTTGTCAACTCCCGGTGGGAACACCTCGGTCGACTCCATCAACGCCATAATGCCGGTCATGGGTTACGCCCACAACACCGTCAACAACAACGTTGGCTCTGCCTCCATCATCGGCGGCTACGTCTACCGCTCCATGACCAACCCGTGCCTCAACGGCAGGTAATAATCACAGCCCTCGACCGATTTCATTCACCACCTCATTTTGTTCTTGCTTTCATGGCATAATTTGTGATTGTGACAAGCGTGTGCATTGTGTTAATTTCATCTTATCCTTGCGTGTGTGTAGGTACATTTACGCGGACCTGTATGCGCAGTCCATGTGGTCGGGGATCGAGACGCCAGAGAACAGTGGGGTGTACAATGTGACGCCACTGACATTCGACTGCTCCAAGACGTCACCGATCCCGTGCGACGTCGCGGCCAAGAGCCCGCTACCGTCGTTGGGCTACATCTTCTCCTTCGGCGAGGACAACGCCAAGGACTTATACTTGCTCACCAGTAAGGGAGTGTACAGGGTGGTCGACCCCAGCAGTTGCAACTACGCATGCCCAATCAAGAGCTCCACGCAAGAAGGGGTGCCCCCGCCTACCTCGTCGCCAAGCTCGGCATTCAATGCACAAGCTTTCACCCTACCAACAACGATGTTGACAGGAGTGTTAGTTGTGTTGCTGAGCTTGGGCTTTTGAGAAGAACTATTTGTTTTCAGTTCAGAATGGTTTGCAAAGTTGCCATATGGTTGTGGTGTTTTGATGTTGTATATTTTGGGTACTCTCTCTATGTGTGCAATCGTGTAAATTTTTAAATTGTATTTATCCAATTATGAGTCAAGTATTGCGCGAAATGGATTGAATTAGGGCCCAATTGCGCAAAAATTGCTTCTTCATTATTGTAAAGGAAAATGGTGTAATCCTCGGACGGTGGGATTATTTTCACCGAGAGTTTAGTAAAACTCTGAGCAGATGATACACACCTGGGTTCCAAACGTAGCACATCTTTTTTTAGGGACAAGCATAGCACATCTTGGTTAACCCTTCAACACAAAGTGAGGACGAAAGTGTAAGTGAGTTGATATGTGAAGGTCTCAGATTTTGACTCTAGTTAACCATTTTTACACGAAGCAAGTGAGAGCATCTACAACAACGATTGGCTAACATTGATCTCCCAACGTCCGCGGGCATACCGGTCAGTGACCGAGCCTGTCCATTTTGGCCCTCCATTTTATGCATGTATGTGACCATGTCGCGTACATCCTCCTCAAATTGCCCGATCAAATGCGTGTGATTGGCGGAGATGGAGAGAGAAATAGAAAAGAAAGAGAAAAGATGATCCGGGGTGGGCTGCATCCTACGTGGAGGGTTGTCCGGACACATCCGAACATCCCCGTATCCTCCCCATATTTGGTATGGATATGGGGATTTCAAGACAGCCCGATCATATGGGGACAAAGTGGGGAGTCCGGTTGGGTGTCTTTTTCTCTTCTCTCTCCTGTCCGGGCAATAGTGCTCGGGTAGTGTCCAGACAATCTGATGCGACATTAGGGGGTTCCAATTGTAGATGTTGTGAGTGGTGGTGCAAAATACCGCTAGATCCCTTGCTAGGGGTCCAAGCGCAGCTGGAAATCTCGGACCAGAGGTCGCACAAAGGTTTTACCCAAGTTCGTGCCTCTGTGGAGTAATACCCTACATCCTGCTTGCTTTGATTGTTCATGGTGAAGGGATACCTCGTGGGGTTACCTGTTGGGGAACGTAGTAATTTCAAAAAAAATCCTACACACACGCAAGATCTATCTATGTGATGCATAGCAACGAGAAGGGGAGTGTATCTTCCTACCCTTGAAGATTGCTAAGCGGAAGCGTTTATCAACGCGGTTGATGTAGTCGTACACCTTCACGATCCGCACCGATCAAGTATCGAACGTACGGCACCTCCGCATTCAGCACACGTTCAGCTCGATGACATCCTCGCCTTCTTGATCCAGCAAGACGGGCGAAGTAGTAGATGAGTTCCGGCAGCACGATGGCGTGGTGACGGTGTTGGTGAAGAACAATCTCCGCAGGGCTTCGCCTAAGCACTACGGAAACTATGACGGAGGATACACTAGAGGGGACGGGCTTGCCGGCACACGGCTTGGTGTTTCTTGATGTGTCTTTGGAGCTAGCACTGCCCCTCTATTTATATGTTGAGCCTTGGGGTTGAAACTTGGAGTAAAAGCCTCCACAAAGTCGCTTTCACCCGAAAGGCAAGAGTCCTTCTCGGACTCCAGGGCCAGACGCCAGGGTTCCCGGCGTACGCCAGGGACCCTGGCGTCTGGCCCCTGGACTCCGCAAAACTTCCTTTTGCGCTTTCCAAAAACCTTGTGGGCTTTCCCCTTTGGCCCAAATAAAGTGTTCTCGTACCCAAACATTTTGGGAAACATCCAGAACCCCCTCCAGTGAATTCGGGAACCTTTCCGGAGACCAAACACTATTATCCCATATATCAATCTTTATCTCCGGACCATTCCGGAGTTCCTCGTCATGTCCGTGATCATATCCGGTACTCCGAACAACATTCGGTCACCAACATACATAACTCATATGATACTATATCGTCAACGAACGTTAAGCGTGCGGACCATACGGGTTCGAGAACTATGTAGACATGACCGAGACACTTCTCTGGTCAATAACCAATAGCGGAACCCAGATGCCCATATTGGCTCCTACATATTCTACGAAGATCTTTATCGGTCGAACCGCATAACAACATACATTGTTCCCTTTGTCATCGGTATGTTACTTGCCGAGATTCGATCGTCAGTATCATCATACCTAGTTCAATCTCATTACCGACAAGTCTCTTTACTCGTTCGGTAATACTTCATCCCGCAACTAACTTATTAGTCAGAATGCTTGCAAGGATTATAACAATGAGTATTACCGAGAGGGCCCAGAGATACATCTCCGACAATCGGAGTGACAAATCCTAATCTCGAAATACGCCAACTCAACAAGTACCTTCGGAGACACCTGTAGAGCTCCTTTATAATCACCCAGTTACGTTGTGACGTTTGGTAGCACACAAAGTGTTCCTCCGGTAAACAGGAGTTGCATAATCTCATAGTCATAGGAACATGTATAAGTCATGAGGAAAGCAATAGCAATATACTAAACGATCAAGTGCTAAGCTAACAGAATGGGTCAAGTCAATCACATCATTCTCCTAATGATGTGATCCCGTTAATCAAATGACAACTTATGTCTATGGCTAGGAAACTCAACCATCTTTGATTAACGAGCTAGTCAAGTAGAGGCATACTAGTGACATTATGTTTGTCTATGTATTCACACATATACTAAGTTTCCAGCTAATACAATTCTAGCATGAATAGTAAACATTTATCATGAAATAAGGAAATAAATAATAACTTTATTATTGCCTCTAGGGCATATTTCCTTCAGTCTCCCACTTGTACTAGAGTCAATAATCTAGTTCACATCACCATGTGATTTAACACCAATATTCACATCTGTATGTGATTAATACCCATAGTTGACATTGTCATGTGATCAACACCCAAAGGGTTTACTAGAGTCAGTAATCTAGTTCACATCGCTATGCGATTAACACCCAAAGAGTACTAAGGTATGATCACGTTTTGCTCGTGAGAGAAGTTTAGTCAACGGGTCTGTCACATTCGGAGCCGTATGTGTTTTGCAAATATTCTATGTCTACAATGCTCTGCACAGAGCTACTCTAGCTAATTGCTCCCTCTTTCAATATGTATCCAGATTGAGACTTAGAGTCATCTGGATTGGTGTAAAAGCTTGCACCAATGTAACTCTTTACGACGAGCTACTTTATCACCTCCATAATCGAGAAATATTTCCTTAGTCCTCACTAAGGATATTCTTGACCGCTGTCCAGTGATCTACTCTTAGATCAAAATTGTACTCCCTTGCCAAACTCAGAGCAAGGTATACAATAGGTCTGGTACACAGCATAGCATACTTTATAAAACATATGACTGAGGCATAGGGAATGACTTTTCATTCTCTTTCTATTTTCGGCCAAAGTCGGGTTTTGAGTCTTACTCAACTTCACACCTTGCAACACAGGCAAGAACTCCTTCTTTGACTGTTGCATTTTGAATTACTTCAAAATCTTATCAAGGCATGTACTCATTGAAAAATCTTATCAAGCGTCTTGATCTATCTCTATAGATCTTGATGCTCAATGTGTAAGCAGCTTCACCGAGGTATTTCTTTGAAAAACTCCTTTCAAATACTCCTTTATGCTTTCGAGAAGATTCTACATTATTTTTGTTCAACAATATGTCATTCACATATACTTTATCAGAAATGTTGTAGTGCTCCCACTCACTTTCCTGTAAATATAGGCTTCACCGCAAGTCTGTATAAAATTATATGCTTTGATCAACTCATCAAAGCATATATTCCAACTCTGAGATGCTTGCGCCAGTCCATAGATGGATCACTGGAGCTTGTACACTTTGTTAGCACCTTTAGGATTGACAAAACCTTCTGGTTGTATCATATACAACTCTGCTTTAATAAATCCATTAAGGAATGCAGTTTTGACATCCATTTGCCAGATTTCAGAAAATGTGGCAATTGCTAACATGATTCGGACAGACTTAAGCATCAATACGAGTGAGAAAATCTCATCGTATTCAACACCTTGAACTTGTCGGAAAAAAATTTGCGACAAGTCGAGCTTTGTAGATAGTAACACTACTATTAGCGTCTGTCTTCCTCTTGAAGATCCATTTATACAATATGTCTTGCCGATCATCGGGCAACTCCACCAAAGTCCACACTTTGTTATCATACATGGATCCCATCTCAGATTTCATGGCCTCAAGCCATTTCACGGAATCTGGGCTCATCATCGCTTCCTCATAGTTCATAGGTTTATCATGGTCTAGTAACATGACTTCCATAATAGGATTACCGTACCACACTAGTGCGGACCGTACTCTGGAAGACCTACGAGGTTCTGTAGTAACTTAATTTGAAGTTTCATGATCATCATCATTAGCTTCCTCACTAATTGGTGTAGCAATCATTGGAACTGATTTCTATGATGAACTACTTTCCAATTTGGGAGAAGGTACAATTACCTTATCAAGCTCTACTTTCCTCCCACTCACTTCTTTCGAGAGAAACTCCTTCTCTAGAAATGATGAACTACTTTCCAATTTGGGAGAAGGTACAATTACCTTATCAAGCTCTACTTTCCTCCCACTCACTTCTTTCGAGAGAAACTCCTTCTCTAGAAAGGATCCATCTTAGCAACGAATGTCTTGCCTTCGGATCTGTGATAGAAGGTGTACCCAACAGTTTCCTTTGGGTATTCTATGAAGACGCACTTCTCCGATTTGGGTTTGAGCTTATCAGGTTGAAACTTTTTTCAAATAAGCATCGCAGCCCCAAACTTTAATAAATGACAACTTTGGTTTCTTACCAAACCACAGTTCATAAGGCGTCGTCTCAATGGATTTTGATGGTGCCCTATTTAAAATGAATGCAGATGTCTCTAATGCATAACCCTAAAACGATAGTGGTAAATTGGTAAGATACATCATAGATCGCACCATATCTAGTAAAGTACGATTATGACGTTCGGACACACCATTACACTGTGGTGTTCCGGGTGGCGTGAGTTGCGAAACTATTCCGCATTG